AAGATGAGAACTGGCGACTTGGTAGTACAACTTTAGTACGCGGAGTATCTGGGGAGCTGGAAGATGAGAACTGGCGACCTGGTAGTACAACTTTAGTACGCGGAGCAATCTGTGGAGCTGGAAGCTGAGAACTGGCGACTTTGTAGTAGAACTTTAGTACGCAGAGTATTTGGGGAGCTGGACGATGAGAACTGGCGACTTTGTAGTACAACTTTAGCACGCGGAGTATCTGGGGAGCTGGAAGAGGAGTACTGGCGACTTTGTAGTACAACTGTAGTACGCGGAGTAGCTGGGGAGCTGGAAGATGAGAACTGGCGACTTCGTAGTAAAACTTTAGACGCGGAGGACCTGAGGAGCTGGAAGATGAGAACTGGGGACGTCGTAGTACAACTTCAGTAGGAGTACAACTGTAGGACGCGGAATAGCTAAACTTGTTGCGTAGCTGCCTCAGCAATTTTCTATGTTCATTCCAGCTCGCTTTTTTCAGTGAGATTTCCTGGAGGCGTGCACGCTGCTTCTCAAGGAATGGACACTCTGAGGTGGATGTAACGTCTCAGCGAGGGTCGGGCTCTCAGACAGAAGAGCTGTGTGCTTGACTATTTCCCTTTACCAGCAGCTCAAATGCTCTCGAAGATGAGCTGAGCTGTCACCGCTTGGCCGTCGGTGGGGGGTTTGGGAGGCCTGCGCGCTACTTCGTTCACTATATCTACAGTGAAGACCTTCACCAGCAGCAGACATAGACACACACACACAGACAGGCAGGAACTCATACACACACATCACACACAGAGACCCACGCACTGCCTCAACTTACTCGGACACACACACACACAGACAGAGACTCATACACACACAGACATAGATACACACACAGAGACCCACACACTGCCTCAACTCACTCGACTTAACACTTCACACTGAACACTTAACAGATAACTCACACTCTGACTTCCTACGTGATGAAAAATGCTTTCGGGCCACTCGTCGTCTAGTTTTAACTCACGCTTGCTCTAACTACCGCTCATTCCACAATGCAGATACACTCAGGCTTTTCTCTGTCTCATTCACTTTAGCCATTTTCACTATCTCTCAAATACATCCACTCGCAGCTGCTCACTTTCACTCATGCCTTCTACCTTGACCCCGAAGATTTTAGTGCCCTGCAGATACATGACAGTCTGATCCTCAATTCTCAGATTCCCAAATTGAGTAGGCAATCTGTATGCCTACTATGCGTACTGATATTAACGCACAGATCAGATCCATTTGTTTGTCACATAGAATGCATGTTGTGTCGGAAGAGCTTGCAGGTCTTTTATAACTGTTTCTGGCACTCATGCCTGGCATGGCGTTGGGTTGATTCATGCTGCATTGCTTTATGCCTGGAACATTGCGCCATAACCTTTGAGTTTAGATACCGAACTTCCCACCCAAGTGTCCACGACAGGCAGCTGATGGGCTGTCAGAAGGTCATCCAGCTGAGCTTGGGCTCTTTGGTGGGTGGCACCAGGCCCGACAGATGCTGTGAAGAATGTGGACTTACAGTGACGAAACCCATCAAAACTCTACCTCTCTCTCTCTCTATAGATATATATATATATATATACACGTACATACACGCACTGTACACTCTGGTATTAGTCTTCACATACATGAAACTGTTCCAAAGACAGCAACTATTGACTTTGAAAGGGAGAAATCTGGTTTCTGCTTGACACCTGGGTGAGGTATCGTGGGGAGTTTGAGAAGCGCATGGAGAAACTCTTGAAGGAGCTCTCGGGCCTTCGGGAAGAGGTGCGACCCTGTGAGATGGAGTGTGAGTTCCTAGTAGCTTCTTATTCCTAGTAGCAATGCCAGGAGCTACTAGTGTTTTTCTCAACTTCTTTTAACACTTCTGTTAAGTGCGCATGCGACATTCTCACCAAGTTGGTGAGCTCACCAAGTTGGTGAGCACAACGAAAAGAGGACAACCGACGATTGTGGCTCTTGAGTCTCCGCCAACAAAATCAGGATCCCCTGCTGAGTGGATCGGGTACTGCCTGCTCGCTTTGAAACGGCCAGGTGATTCTCTTCATTGATGAAATCCACATGGTGGGGGCCTTTCTGCTTCAAAGATGTGATGGATGTTCTCTTTTGGCATTTTGGATGGCTTTTTTGCTTGGCCGCAGCAGAGAGGAAAATATTGGAAAATGTCTCACGTATAGCCGTATAGCTAGAAATGGATCAATGAATTGCTGACAAATTCTCCACTTTCGTCTCTCTTTCCCCTTGTGATTTGGGTACAATGTCAGGATGACTGCATGAGAACTCAAAGTCAGATCACCCACTCGGCTTTGACTCTGACGCGATTCCAAAGTGAACGGTAGAGACAAAAAAACACCAAGCAGCTGCTGCGTTTTCGGGGCTCAGGCCTTGGGCGCAGGTGAGACCGAGAAGGGCAGCTCCATGGATGCGGTCGGGAGTCATGGTGAGTCATGGTGGTTCTTTTGATGCTTTCCTGGGAAGTTCGGCTTGATGCTTTTTTGGAACTTTTTCTTAACGCTCGCTTCAAAGATGTTTCTTGTCGGACACGGTTTTGATATATAATATATAGATTTAGTTTCTGTTCAGACAAAAAACACCACGACCTCTTGAGTCTTGAGCTAGAGATATCCTGGAAAAGCCTCCAATGAGGCTGATCCCGCCAGCATTTGGCGGACACCTTTAGGCCAACCTGCTGAAGCCAGCGCTGGCCAGGGGTGAGCTGCGATGTATAGGCCGCATGGCATTGTATGGCTGTATTCCTCCTCAGTATGAAGAGGCATCCCAATGATGAATGTTCGTGGGCCAAAGAACGCTTGCATAGCGAAAAAGCTTTGGAATCATCGCGCATCCATGTGTAAACACATTGAAGTTTGGAGGATGTCTCATGAAGGCTGACGAATTGCAGCCATGGTTGTGATGGCGGTCTTGGAGACAAACATCTAATCATTGCCGTTTTTGCAAGCTCAGGTGCCACAACCACTGCGGAATATAAGAAGCTCATCCAGAATCAGGCCAGCAAAAGGACATTTGGCCCATGAGCTACGTTAAGCGTAACCTACGCAGTTGGGATTCCCTGTTAGTGGTTTGGGGGTTGAACTGAAGAAGCCTGCAGATGCAAAGGTTTGAGGGTTTATATATAGTCATCATAATAACAACAATAGTAATCATCATCACAGGTGTGGAGTGCATGTTGAATCAAACAAGTCATCCATCATCCCGTGTGTATCCCCCTATCATCCTCTATTCGTCTATCCAACTGTCACATTGAAGTGGACAGCCCGTTTTTGCACAGACAGAAGCAGTCGCTGGAGCGGCCACAAATATCAAACACGTGCACATAGTAATTAGTCGTAGGATATGTGTTGAATGCCCGCTTCCCTTTGCGTGATTGACATTTCAGATATTTCTTGGCCAGGACAAGGCCTTCGAGCGCCGCTTTGTGATTGTGGAGCTCTCTGAACCCACAGAGGTTCCAACCTAGTGGGTGGGAGTGACTGGTAGGGTGGAAAATCTTTCTTTTTATAGAGTGCTCAGATTCTCTTTTGTGATGCTTCAAATTCTTTTAAAAGTTTCGAGTGGTGTTTGAAGTTTGTGCAGATCACCGCCTGCACCTTAATCTCTCATTCTCTCTATACATCATTATTGAACATGCTTGACACAATGCTTGAACCAATTTTCTATCCCTTGCTTTGTGCAGCAGGGCATTTCCTATTTTCATGGTAAACACCCTTTGAGTCTCTTTGTACTCGAGCATTGCCTATTACATAAGTTATACATTCTTCCCGCGACATGGAATGGAGCTGTGCCATTGCTTGAAAGCTGGTGTGGGCCACCTTAGGTCACCTTCAACACAGTGATTTGAAAGTTTTCTCCCAAAAGACCTGCTGGTCTTTTGAGCTTTGCACCGATGTGGGTCCGGACGTGTTGGGCGGAGTCAAGGCTGCAGCTGAAGAAATGCTGCTGGCGATGTGCCCAGCGTTCGAGCTGGGCCCTTGAGATCGACCGAGGTGGGTGTGCATCATTACACAATGGATCCCTGAGTCCAATTGACATCTATTTCAGTCGCACCCTGTGTGCAAACCACGCCACACAATCATCCATCATGCCCCTCATCTGTTGCATAACCTCCAACTAAAGCAACCTCTCTCAACCCAGCGGTGCAAACGAAATACACTGCCACCCTTCTTGTGTTCTAGACGAACCGCCTCACATATCGCCCTCCGGGGAGGGCCGGGGAAGGCAGCTCAATACGGGGCCCCCAGAAGCAAAGCCGCAAAATCCATGAGTTGGGGCGGATGCCCAGAACCTCCAATGACTCATTTTACCCCAGCTGAGAGTGATCATCCACCACTACATAGGGGTAAAATATGGCAAATGGTGAAGATTTTGTCTTTCTGAGAGACCTTGATCTTAGGAATGCATTTCTCGGATACCATGAGATGCAGATTTTCAACATCTTGGCATGAGGCAGCACCATGGTGTCAAGGTCACGCCAGAGGTCCTTGCCGCAGTGTGGGGTGGACGGCCGTTGCCATGATGCTGTGCACAGCCTCCAAGTTGACGCCAAGGGTTCGGTTGTAGGATCCAATCCCAAGATGGGTTGATTCCGAAGATGGATGTTTGACATTGTTTGAATTTGTTGAGTCTGTTCAATGATTCAAGATGATGTTAGTCAAGATTGATGTTGGAGTTTTGAAAGTGGTGATGTTGAAGGACTAAACTGTCACCTTAGAGGGGCCTTTGGACTGAACCGACCTCACAGGCAGTCCGAGCCTCCGTGCGTGGCTCACGGGCACTCAGAGGCTGGCGCCGATGCGTTGTTGAAGAGGATCCTGACACAGGAGCCACCAGCGTGGTGCACCTTCAAAATCTTTCTTACTTATTTCTTATCCAATTTTCAATGATTAACTGGTTAACAACCAAGTTAACCTTCCCACAGTCCTTCCAAAGACACGGGACATCACTCCATGGTTCACAGATGATGCAAGTTCCATACTGACAAGGTGGTGAAAGGTGATGATATTTTGGTGTACTGCTGCTCATGAAAGAATCAGCTCCCCTAGCTTGATGGTTGGTTGTGCTTTTGATGCCCATTCGCCATATTTTTTGCTGGAAACATGGCACATTGGCAAACATTGGCAAACTATGCTATACTGACTATACTATGACAAAACCTTCTGGCTGCTAGACATTGCTCAGGCCCTAGCGGGCCTTCCTTTTCTTTTGTGGGAGTTTGCTTTTTATGGTATCGAAGATATGCAACAGACGGAACTGCCCCACAGTGCAGGTCGCTTTCTCCCAGACCGTGCTCTGGACGTTCTGGACGATGCTGCCACGTTGGCGTCTGCGGAGGCGGGTGAAACCTGGGTTGGAAGCTGCTTGGACTGTTGCGCCGATGGATTTTCGATTGTTTAGGCAAATTTTGCTGGTTTTGAGTGCTCCGGTGGAATCTCGCAAGGCTCGAATCCGTTTGTTCGTTGCGCGAGCTTCAGGCTGAAGCTTCTGGCACTTCCCCGCTTTGCACGGCGGAGCGGTGAAGATGTTGGGAAGTGGACTTGACAGACGGCACCTTGCCCTTGCTTTTGGATCCACTCGCTAATCTGAAGAGGTTGTATTCCATAAGCAGAGTCATCCCACCGGGACAGGGACCTAGGATTAGCATCATCAGCTCACGCAACCTTTCACTGAGAAGTTGCCAGGAAGGGGACGAGAGCACTTTCATAGGTGGATACTGAGTCTCCTCAGGGCAGTGTTTTCGTCACTTTCCCGTCAAAACGTGAGACAGCACTTCGCCCGTGCAGATCCTGGCCCGTGAGACGGCACATCTCGCCAACCCCATGTCTTGTCATGCCCTTTGCTCCTAGTAGTGTCCTTGCTCCTAGTAGTACGGCCAGGAGCCCCTAGTAGCGTCCTTGTTGGTAGTAGCGATGCCCTTTGCTCCTAGTAGCTTCTTGCTACTAATAGTCTTGTCCCAGGAGCATGCGATCCAGGCAGCACGGCAAGTAGCCTTAGGCCCGTGGCACGCGCGCGCGCGCGCGTGGGCGCGCGCTTGCGCGTTGGTGCGCGAGGGCGAGCGAAGTGCTGCGGGAATGGACCTGGTCAATGGACTTGCGGTGATTTTTCTCATGCAAGAAAGATATAATAAGGACCCAACACCGCTTCCGTTGGTGACCTATGGGACTTTTGCTATGCCAAGCTTGCAATCCCTGTGATTCTCCGGCTGTCACCATTCACTTGGGCCTCTCGTCGCCTTTCTTCGGCGTGGCCAAGCTGGCCCCCAGGTGCCGCCAGCTTCCGGGACCGCCTCGTGGCACGGCTTCAGCTCCTCACCTCGCGGCTCTGAGAACGCGTCGAAGGCCGCGCCCGTGGCTCTGCCTCCCCGGTAGATCTGTTTTCCGTTTCCGTGTGAGGTAGCGACCAGGTGGTTGGGTGAATTGCTGGCCGAGTCCAAATCGGCCATAGCCGTCGCTGAATTGTGAAGAGAGAGATTTCGTTTTTAAATGCAATGCTTTATATAATCGAAGCCCCTGCACTTGGACTTTCCCAACACACGCGGGATATTATCATTTGGTGGGTAAGGAATGGCAACAAAGCCTTCAACAGAAAAGGTGTGAACATATGGATTTGTGGGGACATTGCATGCCAACGAACATCACGAGGGTTTGAATGATACTTAATTCCAAACAGAGACGTGTAACTTGGGGATTTGTTAGATATCTGTCTTTGGCAACATATTCTGAGATCCCGAGATCTGACTATAGTCCTTTGCTGCGGGGCTTCGGAACAGACAGAACTTGATTACTCTGGTTTGAGGGTGCAGGACCTAAGCTGGTCTGCTTCGCCCGCCCGTCTGCTTCGCCATGCTCAGGCGGGGGGTTTTCCGCCGATGTGAGGCCGTTTCCCATGGATGTCCTGTGGGTCGATTTTCCTGTGGCCCATCTCTTCCGGTGCTGTCGCCAACAGGGCCCAGCACTTTAGCCCTGGACCTGACATCTGGTGTTTCAAAGTGGTTCGTTAGCAGTTTGATCAGTTGTTGGATGCCTAGGGCTGGGTCTTTCCCTTTCTGTGGCCCAGCCACAGTCGTCTTCCACACGCCGAGACCACAGTCGGCCACCGAGTCTCATTGGCCCCGACCGGGATTGATGCTTTGGATCTGCGAGCATTATCTGAAGCTACGAGACTTAGTCTGAAGCTACGAGACTTCATTCATCCGGGATTCCGAAGCAACAGTCTTTGGGTCTTGTCACTAGCTCAAGCCCAAACAAAGCGATCGCCCGCCGTCAGCCCCAGGGAGGTGGGAGAAATTGGTGTAGGACGCTTCACAAGAGATACCTATCGTAGTGTAGTGGATATTTTGAGCGCACACAGGGCATTTCACTGTCGGACAATGAAGCTTTTGCTGCTCAAGCGATTGGACTTATGCGATTTGGAGTTTTTCAGGCCAGTTGTTTCAATGGGCAGCTTTCAAAGTTCATCAGCCCATCTCAGAAAGCCAGCACCTGGGGGTGCAGGCTCCACGACACATTTTTCGTTGATAGCTTCTGACTTCCAAAGTGGCAGCCATGTACGCCTTTGAGGGCCGTTTGCTGTTCTCACGAGATACCTTGTTGGTCTTCATTTTCTTCTGCGCTTGCCTGCTGCCGGAGCTTCACATCTGGAAGCCCTATCAGCGAGAGATTCCCATGCAGAGGCTCACACTTAGCATCTTGGCCAAATGGATTCTTCATGCACTTTTTTTGGCGAACGACCTTGCATCTCGGTTGTGCGTTGCACTTGCAGAACGAAGCACTGTGCTTCCCTTGCTGAGGCAATGGCACCACAGTGTTTGTGGAAAATCAAGTCTTCGACAACAAGTACATCCCAAGCAATGAGCAGATTGTTCCCACTGCGTTTCTCCTTGCCCTGTGCATCGTGATTCCTGGAGGCCTGATGGTCGGCCTGATTCAGCCTGGTGGTCCGTAGCCAGCTGGATGATTGTTATATAAAATATTATGTATATATGATTATATAATTAATATACTTCCTAAACTGGAGATGTCTGCAACAATAATGACTCTGAGTGGATTGACCCTCTAACAACAAGAACCACTTATTCCTTGTATATTGCTTTCATATGTTAAATAGCTAGGGTATCATGCCCTTGAATCTCTTGTCTTTGGCTTGCTTGCAAGAAAGCCCATCCCATCAAGCAGCAGGCTGCGGAAGCAGGGGAACTCTGCATTTTCGTTTCAACCACCCTCCCTGAAACTTTTCCATGTGTCCTTCAAAACAGATCTCTGACGATGACTCTGAGGAGCTCTGGCCTTGGTCTTGTGGTTTGACGTGCGGCCCAAATCTGGGGAGGTGGCTTCGTTCTTGCAGCTTGGCCGCAGGACGTTCAGTCTGGAGAGCACAGTTTGTTCGAGATGAAGGGAACAGTCTTCCCTCTTTGTCATTCATACAGTTTCTAGCAGCACTATGTTGTGACCTGACATTCCATGTTAGGCGTACCTTCAATCGCCTTCACGTGTGTAGAGGACGGTCATCTAGCTCTGTTTGGGCGGTTTGTGACCACAAATTGATTTCCAGCACTTTCAGAACCTACGCAGGAAACCACTCTTGGGTCTTGAGATCTTGATGTATGCACTTTTCCCTAGGGCACTTCTGAAGCAGAAGTGGGTTAGTCAGTCACTTTCCCAACATTGGGTTGATATCACTCACGTCAGACTCCGAACATGTATGAAAACGTTTCAGTTTCTTCTCATGCTCGTCCATAATGACGCTTTGAGAACCGATTTCATGACAATTGGATTGGTTGAGTAACGCCCAGCTATTTGTGGCGATGATGAGCGTTTCGGTGGCGCCTAGCCACCTTTTGTGTCACTCCAGCCCTGCTGACCCCGATTCAACAGCTCAAACTTTGGGGACATCGCTTTTGGGGCCACGGAAGCGTGAAGACTGGCTTCCAAAGCCACAAGGAGAGGAATCTTGATGGCAGTGGGCTGCATGTTCGCCAATGTGGATGCTGTAAAGCTTTACGTGGCTTGCATTGATTCATGCGTCATGTTGTTGACACCATTCTTTCAGAGCGATGCAAATCGTATCATTTCACAGCCTGGTGATTTTCCTGGTGGCTTTCCAAGAAGCTGAGGCCTCCCTATATTTTTGCCTAGAAGTCAAACCACTAGGGATCACAAGAAATCCGTTTGGAGAGTGGACATCCGCGTTTTTGTGACACGAAATCCGTTTGGTGCGACCCATAAGCAAGGAGGGCGGCTGGATCCAAAGGACTAAACTATACTAAACTAGTGGAGACTCATTCCCTCATTCCCTTCGAGTTGCACCAGTCTGTTGGCCTGGCAGTTCTGTTTTTTTTCTATTTCTCTCGAGATCGGTGCTAGTTCTGTGGATGCACGGATGGTCTGGAAAATGCCACTTGTTTAGGCGTGGTGAATAGTGGGGTGTAGCCTGCGCGGGCTACAGCTACAAGATGCAGCGGAGTTGGGGCTGTGCTCACTCTGGGGGTTGATGCAGTGCGGGGAACTTCTGCAGCCATGCCCTTTTTGTATGGCTGAGCATTCTAAACAGATTCTCATCCAAATCTCATCATCTCATCAGGAAACTCAATCCAATTCCTGAATGCCACCACGAAAACGCTCTCCTACCACGTAGGAGGTCCGGTGACTTGTTGTGGGGACATTTTGAACATGACAAGTGGACCTTACTTCTCCTTGGCCGCTGAGGTGGGGTATTTCAGACCTTACTTCTACGAGGAGTGTGGCCTGGACCGGAGCACTGGCGAGTGTTTGACGCCCACGGAGGATGGACGGAAGTCTTTCCCCTCCGGACATGCGAGCACGCCCCTTGGAGAGTAAGGGGGGTGGGGGGTCGGTCCCATGTGAGTGGCTTTCAGGAGGCAAGTCCTTTCCACCGCGGCACTGGTGGAGATGGCGGGTGGAACGTGGAACACCCTGATCTTTAGAAATGGGCCATGAAAGACCAAACACGGACTGTCAGACTCCAGAAAAGCCCCGATGTGGTGCAAGTCTCGTTCTATTCTCAAACCACTCAATCTTGAACAGTATGTTTCTTCTTATTTATTCTTAAACAAAATAGACTTAGGCCAGTGCTGATGAAGACTCAGTGTGTCGCCCACCTCTGTTGGAGACGCACTCAGTGTTTTCGCCCACCAGGTCCTTTTGTGCGATGCTCTTCACCTCACTCTACCTCCTTGGAAAGGTGACTCGGAAAAGGCACCTGGAAGCCACTGGAAGCCCACTTCGTTGGAGCTGACAACAAAAATTGACCCCTCCCACCGACCCAACAGAAGGGGTGAACAGATCACGAGAGGAGGATGCACCCGCGATTTGGAGATTCAAGGCCACCCTCACTCTGTAGCTTCTCTTGTGTGCGTATGTATTGAGGGTGAGAGCTGAAGAGAAACTCATTTCTTTGGTTGTTTTTGTTGACAATGCTACCGACCTCCAATTCAAATTTCTAGGCTCTCCACACGTCATGACATGATTCTTGCCAACTTGTTGCGGTGTTTATATATGCAAAGGCCAGAGCCTGGTTTCAAGAAATGGTGCAGATTGAGGTTTTCTGATGGTACAGAAGAAGCAAAAGGGTTGTTGGGAGAGGAGATCGAGTCCAGGATGAGATGCAATGTCAATGAGAGCAGCCGGGAGTTAGCAAGGTAAGCATGCGACCAAGGTTGGTCATATTGTGAGGATGCGGTGAAGATACAGGTGTGGGATCAGTTTGCCAAAGTAGAATATTGAAAGCTGGGTGGAGGAGTCAAATACAGCGTCCGAGGTGTAGAGATCAATATGTGTATTACATAGGTGCCCCTGCCAGTCCAGAGGTTTTTAGCATCCGACAAAACTTCCGTGCATGTACTTGAGTGATGAGACGCTCAAGTACTGAGGTACTGAGGTTACTGGTATTTCAATTCTGAATTGATCAAACCTTGCAAAACTGATACGGGCCAACCCTATACCGATACCCTTTCTTGATTGAAAGTAGCTCATTGCCTGCAATCCAAAATAGAAACCGATACAGCCCAACCCAAAATACTTTTGGCATTGGGGACACAAAGATTTGTCTACCACTCATATGCACCGTTGCACGAATCCTTGGGTTTGCTGGAAAGACAAAATGAAGACTTGAGGTATTTCTGAAGTCAAACCAAGTTCTGGGCAATTAACTCCACAAGCACACGCTGAATTTTGTTTTGTACAGCATCATTCCAGGTAGCAAGATTGCCTTCCAAGACCATGACGTCCTTCCTAGGCACGGCGACTCTTCTCATGCTGTCAGTCATTTGCAATTGAAGGGTGACATTTAGTTTGCGCACAGAGACAGGCTCTTTTTATCACAGTCCATGGAGAAATCCTCTCCTTCATAGCTTTTTGCTACTAGTCGAAATGGTAGCAAGCTGTCTCTCATTATATATATATATGTATAAATAGCAAGCTGTCTCTCATTATATATATATATATAATTATTATACATATTTGCCTTGCGATCCGAGAATACTTCGGAGGGCTGTATCTGAACTTGTTCGCTGAAGCTCTTCCCTGACTCCCCGAATGGACAAACCACATCATACCACCATCACCATTCTTCAAGATGGTTGTGACGTCCGCTCCAGTCAGGCCCACTTGGCTGCACGAACGTCCTTTTGCTGTTGGCTTTGAGTCCGGTGATGGTCGCCTTCTGGGTCGCGGCCTCACGTGTTCGTGAGAATGATCACCACCCCGCCGACGTGGTCACTGGTGCTTGCATCGGGAGTGCTTGGGTGGCTTGGCGAACGAGAGGGATATCAGAGGAAGAATGCCCGGCATTCCCAGCTGTTGGCATCCCCACGACCTTTGTCAGAACTGTATGTGTTTGCAGTGTCTGGCGGCATTGGCTATCATCAGGCTGACATTGTGGTGGACATGTTTTTTTGCCTTTTTGTGTTTCAATTTAGGGAAACCTGAGAGCAACTCCTGTCGCAATCCAACTTCTCAAGCAACCTTACGATTTCCATCTTGAGAGAGATCCATGTGGCCAAGGCAGTGCTATGGTATGTTCGTTATTTCACACGACTCTGGGATGATCATGATGATCACCAGAGCACAGATGGCAGCAGTAGGACCACTGAGTCCCAGCGTGCTGGAGACGAGGATCTGCCGATGACGGCTTAACATCTCAGGAGTAAAGAGAGAAGAACTATGAAGAACCCAAAAACATATTCCGATGGAGACGAGAAAACCCCTTGCCGCATGAGAGGTTTCCTGTTTCCGCATGAGAAGGAACAACACATGAATCATTTTTTTCGGGTGCATTGGACCAAAGGAGTTGATCAGGAGGTTTCGCGGAGCGGTTTTTTGAGCACGTGGGGTCGAGGAAATCGCAAGGCGATTCCAGTGGGTTGATTTGCTGAAGAACCCCTAATAGGCCCTAACACAACAATCCATCCAACATGATCAATGCACATGACAACTGACAACTGCGACGAAAGAAGCGGAACTCGATTTGAGGTTTTCATCCTCCATGTGCAATTGAGGTACTACTAGTAACAAGTGCAACAAGAAGCTACTAGTAGCAAAGTGCATCCCTACTAGTAACAAGGTGCAATTGGAGAGCACTCAAGCAGACTCGTTCGCACCAAAGTTTCACCGAGTAGGGCCCTCTTCTTTGGATGCACCAGAGATGTGACGTGACAATATGTGCAATGACTTCACGAACGAACGTGAATCCGTTGGGTCGGTGAATCCGAAGAAGGTTGTCTTGCGTGAAAAGCGAAGTAAAAAAGAAGGTTGTCTTGCTTGTGCATGAAGGATCTGCCTGAGTGACCGACTGCAAGATGCTTTTGCTTGTTGGGAGGACAGCTTTTGATAACTGTTCGCTCATTCGACTCATTCGACTCATTCCTCGCAAAGAATTTGGTGACAAGGCAACATTTTCGCCCGGAACTCATGGCCTTGCTTGTGGCCGTTTCAGCGAATTGACGCGGTCAAAGCCAAAGCATTCAACTCTCTAGACCCGAGTGGTTGGGGACCCTCCAGCATGACTCTTGACTTCTTGGCCGCTTTGGCCACTTCCACAGAAGCCTACTTAGAGCACTCAGGGGCATCATCAAACGCTTCAAGACATCGCTTTTTGTGCTGCCTTTGATGGCAGAATCGAAGGACAGGCAGAATTGGAAGGCAGCAAGGTTGCTGGCGTTCGTCATGTTGTTTGCAGAGTCAGTTGACACCAAGAGTCACTTCACAAGGGTTGCTGACGCGCCGTGAGGAAGACTTGCCGCCAGAAGAAGAGCAGAACGAAGGACAGATACAAAGGTCAAACGTTGGTAGCCCCTTTGATGAACAATGAACAGAGGAATCTTACTAAGAAAGCACACGCTCCTTATATAGATCCAAAGTCACTTGTAATCAATTCTCTGCCCGTCTCATCATCTGTCCGTTCCCCCTACAAGAGCCAACTAGCCAGCACAATGCCCGGTGTCCCAGGGCCTAGCTTAGTCCCACCTCATGACCTCATGGAGCTAGGGTGAATGATCTTGGGGCATTGTGTACGTATATTTGAGTGTATCTGTTCATGTTGGCTCCGACAGCGAAATTGTTGAACGCTCTAGGTCTTTTGCAGACAAGCTAGCTGTGCAAACAGTCAAGCAGTGGCCCTACATCCTTTTGGGTGCTCAGGAAACCGGTGTTGGAGCCCTGGAGATTCCACTTCTGCGGGCCCGAGCACTGCAGAAGTGGAGGAGAAGAACCTTGGCCATCAAGCCAAGCAGCAAACCATGCCTGGGGAGAAAATTAAGAAAATGGGCGTGGACCAGAATGGTCCAAAACCAGTGTTGGACCCAAAACATTCTGAGCCAGACCCATCCCAAGAGATCTGGCTATGGCTTAGATCCGGTGGAACCTGCAGGTTTTGGATGAGTTTCGTTTCTCCACTGGAAGGGAGTTTAGTACCATATTTGGATTTTGTAGTGCCCTTCAACACCTTTTCCTTTCCACCTGGATCGTGCATGGAGGTTCATGACGAATTTGAATTTGGCTCAAGCCCAAATGAGCCTGAAGGTAGTAGCCCCAGCTGCCATAGCATCAGGTGCATCTTACATCGGCTATCTCAAGATTTCGGTAGCTGTTTGGGGTTCGCATACCGTGGGAAAATTGGCAACGAGTTGGGCTTTGCAGGTTCTGGATTACATAGAGGATCAGGTTGAAGCGGTTGGACAGCTTGCTTTTTACATTGGTTGTTTCTTGCTGTTTTACGAGCTGCGTTGTGAGCTGTTGACAGTAGTGAGATTTCTGTTTCGAGTGGCTGTCTACCTCCTGTCCTTGAAGAAGGCTTCTGATCCGATTCGTGTTGAATCCAGTGCTGGCTCTCCCTTTGCTGGAACAGACCACGTGGAGTTCACCTGCCATCAAATGGCCGCGGCAGCAGTGGAGGGGTTTTTGCTTCTGGAACGAGCTGGAGAGTGGGACGAAGTTTGGTCAGCTGGAGTAGTGCCGGGCTCGACCGAACTACTGGCTAGGACGACAAACGCTGACGGGACATCATGGATTTGGACCTTAGTTCAAGTGGTGCCAGCAGCAATTCGTTTTCCTACCGGGGCTGGAAATGCACGAACCGCTCCGGCCGGAGTTCCGGGGGGATCCATCAATTGGATTTGCGCACCGGAGAGCTTGGATCAAAAGTGGAGTCCAACCCCGGCAGAGGTGTTGTCTCTCAAGCAGGAGGCGCAGCTCTTGGCGCTTCATGTGAGCCGTCAAGGTCTCAGGAACATGGCGATGACAGTGACGGGCAGTGGAGGAGACGTTCAAGAGCTGCAGCTGGGGCCAGTGGCGCCAGGCGGGGCTTTGGTTCAGCCAGCACCAGGGGGTGCAGGGGCGCTCGGGCCTGCGGTCGGAGGAGATGCTCCGGCTGGGCAGGCGGATGGCTTCAACATGCAGGCCCTATCCGACGTCATCCAGGAGTTGAAGGAGATGTCACGACAGAGTGGCAAGTCCAAGAAGGACCGAAAATCCAAGCACAAGAAGAAGAAGGACAAGAAGAGCAAGAAGAAGAAGAAAAAGCATCGCAGTTCCAGCAGTCGGACAAGCTCGAGCTCAAGGTCCCGGTCAAGCAGGTCCAGCAGCAGTGGAACCGGATCGAGTCAGTCGGGGCCTCTGCGATGGGACCTCAAAGGAAGAGGAAGGCGGGTCGATTACGAGGAAGTTCATGCAGTGGACGCCCAGAAGTTCAAGCGGAAAGGCGAGCTGCTGGCTTATGCGACAAAGCATCCGGGGGCATTGTCCGCCCATTTTCTGGCCTCGATCTACGCACGGCTTTCAAAGGGAAGAGTGACTCGCAGCTCCCAGCTGCGGGAAGCCAATGTCAGCCAGTGGGCGGCCCAGCACTCCGGCCTTTCGGAGATTCGAGATGTTCGCGAGGTATTGACGATCGCGGAGGCCATGGACTGCATCAACAGGAAAGAGATCGCTCGTGCAATGGATGTGTTAGCACAACGAATCCTGGCGGTGCAGCAGGCCAAGAAGAAAGGAGGCAGTTGGGAAAAAGCAGAAACTATCGAACTCATCCCATCGGGCACGGCTTTGGCCAGCAATGCAATGCTGGCCCTTACCAACTAGCCTCAAGGCTCAGGAAGTCTATCTGGAGTTGGAAGCAGCTGCACGGTGCCCCAACTTCGGGTGTGGACTATGCATGCATGTTGTTTTCTTCAGTCGAAAAAGTTCTGGCCCATGCTGGCTCAGTGCATTTGTTAGGACAGTGCATATGGAGGCTGGGGCGGGAGCAAGGCCGTCTGAGGAGAGCACAAGAATTCAAGAAGAGTTCGTACAAAGATTCTTTTTCAGGACACAGTTTGCATCGTGTTTTTCCACTTCCTCCGTTTTCGAGCGATGGGGCAGTGGTGCAATACACTATGGGTTCAAGCCTCACTGGAGATCAGTTGACGTGGGCTCGTGGTGTGAACATTGTACAGGCAGTTCTCAACATGCTGCATGGGGGTGGTGGTCAACGTGCTTCGTTTATCACGGCTGCTCAGACTCGTGTTCAGGCTCGTTTGAAGTCAGGCTTGGAATCCATGATGGTGGATTTCGAGTTTCTGGACAAAGAAGGTGTCCAGGAGTTTTTGAAGCATCATCAGCATTATGCTGGAGGAGGAGCCGCAATTCCGCTGGGCGAGAGAGGTGGAGTGCCAACCTCAGCCGCAACAGTAGATTTGCATGGGTTGTTCGAGGAACGTTTTCCTGAATTAGCCTTACAAGTCAATGAACCTAAAGCACTTTTGTTGCCCTCCCGAAGAAGACCAGTCAAGATCAAGAGAGGACATGTCTGGTTACATGCTAGCTATCCGAATCTGGTTCGAAAGAACATGAAGGCTGGGTTGCATGGACCAAAGAAGCTCTCCCAGGTGGCAAAGCATCGTGGCAAACTTTGTCTGACAGGTGCTTTTGCGGTGGCCAAGGACGCGACTGAAGATCGGGTAATAACTGATCCGGCCGTTAACCAGTTGCTTGATCCTGACAGACTCCCGCGGCCTCGTTTTGCTTATATCCCAAAAATGAGGGTGACTTATGCACCCCGTACAGGCAAGCTGTTGGTGTCTAAGAGGGATGCTAGGCATTATTTTCACAGTCTGCGTATCGGGCACAAGTGGATGCGTTGGTTGTGTGGGCCACCCATTACAGGTGTGAACGGACGCCTGGTCTATCCTGCTGCGAGGACGGCGCCAATGGGGTTTGGGCCCAGTGCAGGCTGGGCTCAGGCTGTCACAGATCTAGCCACGGAGAAGGGAGGACTTCCGGATGGTAGGCGAGTAGTCCCTGACTCCTATCCTCCCTCGGAGCTGCCGGTTTGGGGTTCGATATGCGATGACATCTGGGCCCTTGAGCACGAAGGCAGTGGACCGGACAGCCTGATGGGGCCAAGATGGATGGCAGCGGCAGAGGAGGCCTGGCAATCCTTTGGAGTGCATCCCAACCCAAAGAAAGCAGTCAACGCTGATGTCGACCAAGAGATCCAGGGCATTTACGTTGATTCAGGCAAACATTGGATGGGGGTGAGTTTTCCGAAGCGGCAAAAGCTTTTGCAGGCAGCGGTGCACTTGTTGGCGGAGCCCTGGGTGTTGCTTGCGGACGTGGAGAGGCTGGTTGGGAAGTTTGGATATGTGCATTCGTGTCGGCCTATATTGAGATCAGTCTTTGCGGAGACCTACAGATGGCTAGACAACAATCGCAGTCAAGGGATCCGCAGAGCAGTTTTGTCAGATGAGATTTGGATTGAGATCTTAAGTGCAAGTGTGTTGTTGCCTTTCGCTCAATTCGACCTATCTGCAGATTTTTCAAATCGGGTTGAGTGCACTGATGCGTCCATGACAGGCATTGGAAGAGCATGGGCCACCATGCCCACTTCACTGGTGCAGCTCATGGCTCAGGTGTGCGATCACAATGGTACGTATACGAACATGAGCCTTCCACATGGTATAGGCCTGACAGAGCAAGGAACCTGTCCATTGAAGAAGCTGAACTTCCCGCACCAGCGTTTTCATTGGCACCAAATTGGAGCACCAGCAAATCCCAGGTTCATCTACCTGGGCGAGGCTGACGCAGCGACCTGGAGTGCAGAGGACAGGCTTCGAAGGCCAGGAGATGATGGCAAGAGATTTGTGCATCCCATGGACAGTGCGTCGTGTGTTGGGGCATTCAACAAAGGTAGATCGGCCAGTTTTCTTCTCAACTGTCGTTGCCAGCGGTTATGTGCAATCGGTGTCGCTGGAGGGCATGAAGTGTTCTATCCATGGATCCCGTCAGGTGACAATCCAGCGGATGCACCATCACGTTGGTATGGAACAGTAGAGGAGGAGATCAGCAAACACAAAACGCAAGACAAGGGCGATGATGGCCTGCCAGCACTCGAAACATTGTTTGTGGACCCTTTCACTCTTCGCGACTGGACCGGTAACGAGCGGGTCTTCGTGCACTTGTGCGCAGGAGTGCAGCGTGACGGGGATCTAGTTTCTTGCATCGGGACCTTGGCAGATGACCAAGGGTTTCACATTGTCGGTATCCGGGTCGACCCTTTAGTACAACAGAGAGAAGCGTCAGATCTGTTGAGGACAGAGGATGGATTAACTATTCTTCACTTGGTTCATAGTCGACGGGTTATTGGAATGTTTGCTTCTCCACCGTGTTCAGCGTTCTCCGCAGCAAGGCACCGTGCCTTGGGGCGGGGGCGGCAGGGGCCACGACCTGTGCGAAGCCGACAGCGTGTATGGCAGCCTTTGGCAAACTTGTCCGAAAGGGAGAAAGATTCTGTTTATTTGGGTTCAGCCTTGTCATTGTTATGCGTTGGATTTCTAGGCGAGACTCGCGCAGTGGGAGGTTGGACCGGTTTCGAACATCCCCATGATCGAGGGTGTGATCCTTTTCCTTCTGTTTTCAACTCGCAAGAGATGCATGCGTTGATGAATCGTTTTGGACTCGACTATAGCAGAGTTGACCAATGTATGTTTGGTGCTCCTTCAACGAAACCCACCGGACTTGTTTTGCCCAAGGGCACGGACGCCACGATGTTTAGGTGTGATCATTCACATCGGCATGAACCGCTTACAGGCATTGATCCAGTGACGGGGGCTTTTAGAACCACGGTTGCTGCAAAATATCCTGTTGGCATGAGCATGTGGTTAGGGAACCTTTTTCTTGCGCGTTATGCCCATGCTGTGGGGCATGGTTACACCATGCCCTTCGCTCCGACCATGCATGCTGCTAACCACACTGGCCTGGACCCTTACGTGCGCACAGTGCGTACGGCTTGGGAATGGCCATCCCCGAGTGGAACGTTTCTTGATGAGTGCATTGAGAGATACCACAAAAGAGAAGTATCAAAACGCACTGCAATTCCTCAACAATGAGCTACAGACTGCTGGTATCCAGTGGGGCAAGCTGTCTGAAGTGCAACAAGATTATTTTCTTGCAGAATGGATGGTCGATGGCTATGAGCAAGGCCTTGGAAGGGCCGAATTCGGCTCACTACTGTCCGCCTTGGGACGCATCAATCCACGGGTCAGGTACAAAGTTGCGTGGAAGGTCTTTGAGGTTTGGGGAAAGCTGAAGCCACCGCAGCAAGCGGCGGCAGCTCCACCCGAACTGATCACTGCCATGATGGTGGCCTGCTTTGCATTGAACCGAGCGGATTTAGGACTCCTTATTTGCATATGTTTTGCTGGCTTGCTTCGTGTAGGTGAGGCACTCCAGTTGCGTTGGAAGGACGTCTTTCTGAGCCCGTCCGGTGTCACTTTATGCTTGGGCGTGACCAAAAATGGCATTGAACAGCAGGTCCTGCTCACCAACCAAGTGGTGGCAGATTGGGTCGTGCAATTTCGTGCAAGTCAGAAACCAAAGAATTCAAACGCATTGCTTTTCTCCATGTCTTACTCTTCGGTCCTACGCTGGGTGAAGAAGCTGGCAGGTCTGTTGGGTGCTGTGGGCGTGCCTTTAACCACTCATTCCTTTCGGCGCTCAGGGGCATCTGAGCTCACTCGTCGGGGGGTCCCCTTTGCTGATGTGATGCTTTTTGGTCGCTGGTCGTCAGACCGAGCTGCTCGAGAGTATGTGCGGCAAGGAGAAGTGGCGATTCTCCGTACAGCAGAAGCTTTAGGCCCCGGTGTGCAAAATGTTTGGAAGAAGTGGTGTTCGGCGCTTCCTTTTGTTTGGCACACGCAGAAACTTCTTTCCACAGAAGCGGCTGTTCCCTCACGGTTGAAAGTTACTTCAGACTCTTTTGGGCGGTTGCAGGAGTGTGTTTTCCGGCTACAGCTTTAAGGATTAGTTTCTCTGTCGAGGGTGTGGTGTAGTGGGAAGAGGTGAAAGCTTGAGCTTGGCGCGCGGCAGCAGACAGTTTC